GGGGAGATACGATGCGCGGAAAGCAATATGGCAAAAATAAATATTTTCAAAGTGTAAATTTAACCTTTTTTTCCTCCTTAAAATTTCGTTAGCTTACAGTATTTCATCAGTATAGCTCATATATATATTATAGCTATCAAGGCAAGGGCAGTCCAAGGGAGACAAGCTCTCCAGGGGGGGCTGCAGTGCTATGTTTCTCATTTTTGCCCCCAGTAGACTATATCTGGGCCACTTTGCACTGAAAACTTATCCCAAAAAGCTCTTGGGGGGTGTGGGGGGACGGTATATTTGCACTAGAGGGCTCAGCAACAACCCTATGGCTCCAGCTGGACCATTCCCTCTGCCCCAAACCCACATGTGTGATTGAAGCATCTTCTGCCGCCTCCCCGGCACAGCGGGGCTAGGACCTCTGCCTGCTACCCCCCAACCATGATCCGCACCCCCCCCTTGCAGCAGCACAGGGGTCCTTCACCCATCTCGCCCCCCAGCTGGCCCTCCTCACCTCCCAAAGCAGAGGGAAAAGCCAACGGCACCAAATCCGCTGCAAAACTACTGTGATTTGGGGGTGTGAGCCCCCAGCCAGCTGGTTTTGGGGGTACATGCATGCTGAGCACGGTGGCTCTCGGAGGACCTGTTACCTCCCCACTGAGCCAAAGTTGCCCAGTGACTGCAGGTTGTTTCCTTTCCTATTCTCTTTTTTTTTTTTTTAATTTTCTTCCTTCTTTTTTTTAACGTGGCCTCCAAAATAAAAAGAGAAAAAAGCGCCTGAGTTACTTGTAGTCATTCGCCTTTCGTGCAACTTGAACGTCCATGCAATTTAAAAACTGCTTGCACATCTCCGAAGAGTGAGATAGGGGTAGCCACGGGTTCACTGCTTTGCACAGGGAACCAACCTGTGCCAGCATCCGCTATTATTATAACTATTATTATTATTACAATGTTTTTGTTTCCTTTCTGTTTTGTTTTTTTTTGTGTTAAGAGAACGTGTGACAGGCCGCAGGAGAAAACTGCCAAAGAGGACTAGCAATGGGAGGGAAAAGACGGGAGAGGAGGTAACTTTCTGCATCCCCCAGGGAGGTTCCCCGGGAGCATCTCCCTTCCCCAGGCACGGGGTTGCAGGAGCTCCCCCACAGCTCCTCGCAGGCTGGGTGGCACAAGCACCGCCAGGGAGGTGGGGAAATACCATGACCCCCCTCTCCAGGTGGACTCACAGCAGCTCACCTGTGACCGGTGCTGGGCTCTGGGTCAGCAATGGAGGTCAGCCTACGGCCAAGCTCCCCGGGGACAGGAGGGTTCAGGACCAAGCGCCCCCAAGCCCCCAGGAAGTTGCCAGGTGGCCAGCAGGTTTCGGGAGACGCGCAGGGGCGGGTGAGTACCCTCCGTTGCAGCCAAGCAAGGGTAGGTTTCTGAGGGCATCTCCTCCGGCATCCCACAGACCCAGCCCACATCGTTGTTATCGCCTACGGGTCATTTCAAACACACAGCAGATGTTCGCTGATGGAGCTGCTGGGATGGAGCTTCATCCATGGGTTTTGCCCGTTGTCTCTTTTTTTTCCAGATGGAAAACACCAGTCATGGTCCCGCATTCAGTCCCAAGTGGATGTCACCACTCAGGACCATGACGCCGAAGGCTGGGAACACACCTCTCAATGCCGCCTTCGTTTTGGTCACCTTCCCTGCGATGGGACATGCATCCTGTCTGGCGTGACTCTGTGGCTCTCTTATGTAGGTGCGTGGTTCTGGTTCTTCTATGTGTGTGTTTGGCTTGTGTTGAGTTTTTAGGGGTTTCGTTGGGGTTTTTTTTTGTTGTTTGCTGTTTTCCTCCAAAATTCCAACCCTTTTCCCCCCCGATTCACTTCCCTCTCCCACAATGCACTTCCTCACACTCCTTCTCGGATCAGCTCCAAGTCCTTCTCCAAAATTCAAGAATCACCCGCAAGTGCCAGCTCATCTTTTCTGGCCGGAGCCAAGCATGACCCTGGAGACAAAGTTGACGATGGCTGCAGCTGGCTGGTCTGGGTCCAGCTCGGCAAAGAGGTGGCAGATGTTGTCTGTGGTGCTTCCTTGCTTCCTGGCCACGAAGCCGAAGAGCCTGGGTGGGGAGAAGACAAGAGGCTCAGCGAGGCTTGCCAGCATTTCTCACCCAAGGAACACCACCACCCTCTTCCATCATGGTCTTGTCCACCTTCTTCTCTTTAAATCCACCTCACACAACACAGAGGGAGACATCCCAAACCAACCCGTGTGAACACCCATCTACTCTTCCCTTTGCTGCAGTTTCTTTGAAGGCCAGCACTGCATTTTCATCATCTCTTGGCCAAACACCCCTTGGCTCTGACCATCCCTGCCACTCTCCCTTAGACTGTCCCCAAGAAGGGACCTTCCAGGTGATCACAGCATTGCCTTGATTTGGGTGATGACTCTTGAAACCACAGAGGTGTGATGGGGTAGACTCCCTATAAAAGGAAGGCCACACGGGGACACGGGCAGCTGGGTGACACCATGCGGTATTTCTGTCTGTCTCTCCCCTGATGTATAAAATGTCCCTTTTTTTTTTTATTTTAAATTAGAATGTGCAAACTCAAGTTATAAATACGGGGGAACAGAATGTGAGACAAGCCAAGCCATGGCATTTCTAATTGGGGAGGGGAAATATCCCAGCAGCTGGACATCCTAATAAAAACCCCTTCGCTAACACAATGGCTAAAATTAGTGGGAATTCTCCCCTGGAAATGGGCTCAGCCAGCAGCTCTGTGCTCCCGTGGGTCAGGACAGGGAGGACAGGAGGAAAGAGAAGAGCCAGCTGGTGGCTGATGCACCATCAGCATAACCCCCAGCTCTGCTCCATGATCTGGCTCCCACTGACTCTGCTGGGAGAGTTTCCAGTTCAGCAAGGGCCATGCCTGCTCTGACCAGGAATTTGGGGCTGAAAGATGCTTCCTGAATCCCCAGGACCATGGTTGCATGCTTGGGTGAAACATTCCCGCAGCGAGGAGCTGAGCCCATCTCATGCATGGCCAAGAGGCTGCCCTGCATGGGGCATCTCCCAGCCAATGCTCAAACACAGGCAGGAGCCACCCCAACAGCAGCTGGGAGGAATCAGCTGAGAAGCACAGAGAGTACTTACTTGGCTGGACCGCTGCCATCAGTTTTAGTCCACCTGCAAGGAGAAGAGGAGGTGTGAGGGATGTTGCCTCCTGCACCCCACAGAGAGACATGGACATGATGGGGGCCACCGCACCAATGCTGGAGGGCCAGCCTGGCTTTGCACAGGCTTGGCTTTATGGAAAAAAAACCTGATGCACCTCTCCACCAGCATGAAGATGCTTGGAGACATCAAGAAGTCACCAGGAGAAGCTAGTGTTGCCCACAGTCTCCAAAGGGACCATCCATCCCTGCCTTCCACTGGAGCAAGGGGGACAGCGCAAGCAAAGACCCCACTGCCAGCAGCCCACGAGCCTGGGGGAGAGAAAGGGGCAGGGGATGTGTGCTCCCCCCAGGTTAGGGCACTCACTTTCGTTCCTGGGGGTCCAGGTCACAGAAGGTGACAGTGTTGAGGGGGTAGTGTCGTCGGAAGAACAATCTGAAACACAAGGCACGAAGTGTCAGGGCCAGGGAACCCCACCTCTCCCCCACCACAGCCCATCCCCACCAGCACAGGGGACACTCCCACAGGTCTCCCCTAGGATGCTCCAGGAGTTAAGGACAAAGCCCAGCCCTGCCCATGACCAGGTTCATGCCACCCCAGGGACATCCTTCAATACACTCCCTGGATCACAGCCCCGTTGGCTTTGGGGACCCAGGGACATGACCATGGGGGCTCTTACTTCCTCTGGTTGTCAGTTAAGGTGATGCCTTGTGCAGAGACTTTGAAGTGGACAATGGTAGCAGTGGGCGTGGGGTCGGCCACTAGCGTCTCGGCGACAGCCTTCGTGATGGCCTGGGGGCCTGTCAGCGACTCCATCTCCACCGAATTGATGAAGAGGACGTTGCAAGCTGGAAAGGGAGACAGCAGGCATGGGGTCAACCACTGCTCCAAGCCACATTTACCCCGCAACAATCCCTCTCTACTCACCCGCACCCTGTTTGAGGAGGTCCGTGGCCGAGTTGGTGGCCGATGCAGTGTCTTTCTTTTCCTCCATGGGATCTAGAAGACATGGAGTGGTTACTGCTGCTCCCTGCCTGGAAACCTACCCGATCCCCACAAGCTGTGGAGACAGATGCAATCCCTTCTGGTCCTGGCTCTTACCTCGGTCAGGAATGACCAGCTTGCAGGGCAGCGCCAAGGGCATGATGGAGTGCTGGTACACCAGAGCCGACAGACAGCCTGGGGAGAGAGGGGAGATGGTCGGTACAGGGCTGGGGACATGGGTTTCCCCGGAGTTAGGTCGTTGTTGCTCCGGATGCACGGGAACAGGCTTTTTAGTGGGTTTCTTTACTGTGGTCCTAATGCCACATGTGGAAATTCCTCTCCCTGAAACCACCGTACCCACGGCGGGCTCAGGGAGGGGGCAGAGACGCCAGGGACACCTTAGGAACAATGGATGGGGTAGAGGTCCTCGTGAAGCGCCTTGGAGCACATTAGCCATGGGATAAATGGAGCAAGGGGGGCACCCGCCCTCCACCCTGCCCAGCAGCATCATTTGTCCGACACGTGTGTGCAGAAAGCTACGTACCTGTGCGCATAGGCACGCTTGTGTGCACTCATGAGTGTGCATAACCCCAGAGGTTCTAAATGCCTACAGGACTCAGTTACACAGAGACAAGAGGCAGTAACAGAGGCGGGGGCTCTCCCAGACACCTGACAGCTCTGCTTTGATAGTCCAGGAAAGGCAAGGCTCTCCCAACCCAACCCCGCATGTGAGAAGCAGGCTGGGGACACTCACCAAAATTGGGCTCATTGGGGCATCCTTTTAGTTTCACACCCCGTGGGCTGGTCTCAATGAGGAAGTGCCTCACCAGCTCGTTGGTGATGTCTCCTGGGAAGAAATGGGATGTTCTCACACCAGAGCCACCCTCCTCCTCCTCCTCCTCCTCCTCCTCTGCAGCCGCACAGGTAAAGAGTGCTCCAGCTTGAGGGAGAGGTCCCTACCACTCCGTACACCCTCCTCAAATCCAGCCCTTTGCACAGGGTCAACCCCAGCCAGGCTCCCCCATGGTGTTGGTGGGCTGGGGAGGCTGCACCCATTTCACCGTGCCAAAGCCCAAGATGCAGATGCCCTTGAGCCCTCCGCAGCTCAGAGCAGAGGGTGTCTGGTGCTTCTCTGTGCCCTGGGAGGGGAGGGCTGGGAGGGAGGGATCCTGCCACATCAGCACATACCCAAGGGCACAACTGGCTCAGCAGACCCAGCTGCCCGCTCGCCCCGGACGAACGATGGAAAGCATCTCGGCGTGGGATGGAGAAGGGCACACAATACCTTTCTTGTTCTGCTGCATGACCGTGGGAGGCGGAGAAGCTACTTTCATGGCGAGGCCATAGGCTCCCCGGAAGGAGTGGCTGTCTCGGATGATGAAAGCCCCCGGCTCCCTGTCCTTCAGCAGTGCGATGGCTGCAGGAGAGAACAACAGAGCCGGCATGGCAAGAGCCAACGTGCCCTCCAAAACCAGCAGGTGTGGGTCGGGATGGGGCACCCCAGCTCCATGGCCTCGCAGCCGGACACCACAATGTTACCATCCTCCCTGCACATCTGGATGGGGTTCTTGAGTGGGTCTGTGGCGAGGCAGGGGAACATCTCCCCCCCCTCGCCTCTGCTGCCCTTGCGTGGGCATCTCAGAGCATCCATTCCCACACAGCCCAGCTCTTAGCAACCGAGCACAGGAGAGCAGGCAGGGAACAGGGACCAAACGCTGGAACCTCACCCCTTGTCCCCTCCTTGTTCTCCCCTCTTATTTCAGCCATGTCTCCAAGACTCCTTTGAGCTCTCTCAACTCAAGATCTGGGTGCTTTGCACCCCAAACTGCATAGATCCACTGCACGCTGCAGGGATCGGTGCTCCTCCACCAAGGGGAAGGTTTGGGGAGCCCACATCATGCAAGCCTGCAGCTGAGCTGGGCTTCAACCCCCCTCTGCAATGGTCTGAGCATCCACAATCCACCTTCACTCCTAACCCAGCCCCTAAGGGAAATCCTTGCTAATCCCTATGTCCCAGATACACCCCAGCTCCCGACCACGGCTCTCTCAACCGTATCCTTCAGCCTCTGTCATCCACTCACCCTGCTCCCTGGAGATCTCCGGTTTGTACCAGTACTTGGAAGTGTCCTGCACAAACTTGACATTAGCACGAGTCTCAGGGCTGATGTCTGCAAGGAAGGGAAGAGAAGACAAAAAGAAAGTTAAAAGATGCTGTATCTAAAACTCCACCTGAGTTTTTAGCAAGTCTGGCTAAAGCATTAATACCTCCACCTCCTTTCAGCCCCATCACTTTGCTTTAACCTCAACCCAATCCTCCATACCCAAGCAGGCTGATCATCACCTAGAGGTTATGGGGCCGCTGGGCACCTAAAGCTAAATTCAAGCCCAACGGCCCTCGAAGGGCTGTGCATCGGATGAGCCTCTGCCACACAGCCAGAGACAAAATGGGAATTCATCATTTAAAAGAGAGCTGGCCAGGTGAAACGAAAGCTGTCGGAGGAAAGAGATATATCCAGAGGGTAGTGAGGAGACCCTCTGACTTCAGAGGACCTTCACTGCTCTTTAATGTTCACGATTTGGCTCGTCCATCATAAAAATAAATTCCTTCCCTTATCTTTGCTCCGTGCAAAGGAACTGGACAGGTCAACCTACCCTGGGAAAAGCAGCCCTCGCCCCAGCCCGACCCTGCCTCACTCAGTGCCCGTCAGTGGCACAGCCCCGATGGGAGCTGGTCCTCTGGCCATGAAGCTGTCACTTTCCTCGGGCAACGTTTCCAATCACCTGCTTTCCAAAAACAATCGAGCAAACAACCCGGAGGGCCGGATAGCATCTCTCCTGGAGACATGTTATCAGCCCTCTGCAATCTGGTCGCTTTTGCAGAGGCGGAGGGCTCGCTCCCCTCCCTAGCCCACTTGCTAATTGTTACAGGTTTTAATTGCTCATGCTTCCCCGCTGGGAAAGATC